CAAGCTTACCTGCAGTAAAGTACGCCACCGGGTCTACGCTGATCCACTATGACAACGACATCAGCCCGGCGTTCCACTACTACGAATGCGTGGGCACCGGCTTAAACATTTCCCAGATCACTGGTAGCACTCACTCCAGACTTATTCAATGCTTGACTTCACGTGTCCCTTCCTTAGGATTTCACGACGATTTGGTTAAATATCAGCATTCAAGCAACACGTCTGGGGAACACGAGTCGCCTGGAAACAGGCCTTCTCCAGACACGCCAGATGCCTCATCGCCGAGTGAAGGCCGTCTGTCGACAATCTATGAGGAAAATGAGGAACACAATATCGAAGCTATGATGCTGGAAGAGTGGTGCGACGAGCTACGTATGGACCTTCATCCTACGACGATTACTGATGATTATCTTTATTGCGTCCCAACAACTATGCTGCCCGACCAATGTGTTTTGGTTTCAGCATTGTGGACGAAGATGATATTATATCATCAGATATGCTCGGAGACGAGCCGAAATCACGTGAATCCTGTCTAGTCTCTCTTTGTTCAACCACAACCGACGAGAGCTACTCTCTTGACAGTGATGAATATGGTCCTTACGTTGAATTATGTTTTACATCGGAAATGTAAAAAAATGTTGGATCAGACTCAACTTGCACAGCTCGATACTGATATGGTCGCAACGATGAGAGTATATGTATCCTCTGCTGCTAAACGTGTTGTGGTTGTCAACGAAGATGATCTACTGACCAAAGCCGACATAGCAGCACATCCAAAGGAGGTTAGTGAAGCTTTGTATACTGAGCTCAAACTCTGGATTGATAATCGATGCTTTGAGATGTATGAATTATCCAAAGCTTCCAACATCATGACATCCAGATATGTATACAAGTGGAAGTTTGTAAAGATGGGTACCGAGAACGTTAAAACCATTCGTCTCAGACTGGTCCTTCGTGGATTTATGGATACTGAGGCTTTTGATGTGGAAACATTCTCGGGAACCGCCCGAAGGCAGTCCCAACGACTCCTGGCAAGTGAAGCGGCATGCCATCCAGAGTGGATCTTAGCATCCATGGATATCGATAAGGCGTTCCTCAAGGGTTTGACCTATGAGGAACTTGCCCATGCCACCGGCGAGGAAACTCGCATGGTTTGCTTTACTCTTCCACCAGGAAGTGCTCAGGTACTTCGTGCATTACCCGGCTTCTCATCCTACGACGAAAGTCGACACTGTCTTAGATGCCTCAAACCAGGAACGGGTACAAAGGACGCTCCAAGAGCGTTCTCTCTCAAACTTCGTACAACCACACGAGCTATAGGACTTACACCGACCAGCTGCGATCCTGAATTTGAATTCAGCCAAGTCCTTCTGACGGCAAAACATGTCGATGATATTAACATGACAGGTCTAGAGAAAAATATAGGCGACTATGTACAACGTGTCGAAAAGGTGTTTGGCAAATGCAAGCTCAACAAGCACACATATACGAACTGCGCCGTTCGCTACACTAAGAATGATCAAGGAGATGTGATCATGGACCAGGACGAGTATATCAAACAACTACGTCCTATCACACACCCAGAACTTACAGGAGCGGCGGCCGATGCCAAAGCCACGAAACTCATTACCGACATGTTCGTCAGCCTGCGAGGAGCCCTCGCCTATGCCCTTCTTACCCAAATCTGGCTCATGGTATACGTGGTCTCTCTTCAGAAAATTCAAGAGCCCACCAATCTGCAAGTCAGACGTCTGAATGCTGTGACGCGAAAGCTGATCAGCAGCCCGAAACGCATCACCTTCCCTCGGATGAAGCCGACGAATGAAGTTGACATCCATAGCGATTCGGGGTATCGGAAGCTTACCGGGGAGGAGGATGACGAGACCAAGGGCTACGGCATACGCGGGGCCAATGTACTACGGCGAGGAAACTCGCCTCAAGGCAAGTCCGTCGTTCACCTCTGTGACGGACTATGCAAATCACACCGATTACAGGTGAGGTCCAGTTATGCTGCGGAGGCACTTGCAGCTGCACATAACCTTGATGAGTGTTACCCTACGCTCATTACTCTCCACGAGCTTAAGGCAGGAGCTTTGACTCCACGACAACTACGAGACATGCGTGAAGTTGGTGGCCTAGCTATCAAAATCTCTCTTACCATAGACGCCGAGTCCGTCTACAAATCTTTATCAAACAGGGATCTCAAGATACCTACAGAACGGACTCTGCTTGGACATATCAGCTGGATACGTGAGCTCATGGATATAGGTATAGTACATAATGTGCAATGGTGTGATACTAGGGATATGACCGCAGATGGGCATACAAAGGGAAGCATCGATCGGGAGCTGCTTCTGGAAGTGATGTCAGGCACTCAGTCATTTAAGTATGACGTGAAGCAATTTGTTCCCTTTCGGGGTCCCGAGGACAGAGACAAACCTAAGTCTAATCAATTTTAGTCTGTCCTTGTTGCCCTCGCGGTCCAATTTGCCAGCACGGGCGCCTACTATAAAGGCGCCCCTCTAGTTGCTCGGAAACGAGCCTTATATTTCACGCCTGGCAACGAGCCGGCTTCGTACAACTCAGGCTCTTTGCCTTAATACACATTTGCTTGGTGAGGTATGGCCTGTTTGGCTTACCTCTAACTGAGCCGATAGCCCTTCATTGTTTGAAGGGGCTGTCTTGTATTTGCGTGAAATGCTTTGCGAGGAAACTCGCCTTGCAGTCTGGTGTTAGGCCAGACTGTACGCACTGTTTTCCTTTTTGCAAGCAGTCGTGCGCGCGACCGTTGCGTGCGACTATGCTCTCCGTCTCCTCCCCTCCCGACTTTAAGGGTAGGTCTTTGGGAGATGTTATAGTATCGGGAGCATAGCTCGCGCGCGCCGTTGCCTTTGGCCCAAGGCACGCGCGCCCTATTTGCCCGGACACCGCGAGTGTTCGCTATGTGCTGGAAAGATCATTACATCGATCTTATCCTATCTTATCCGTCCACCCCTCATACTGTACTATCATAGCAGAGCGATGGACGCTATTTGCCATCCGATGTCTATCATGGAATCGGATGCTATTTGAGTTACCAGGCTCACTTTCGACTGATGCTGATGATGATGACGATGATGCCGATGCTGATATTGACAGTGGTGATGGTGGTGATGATGGTGTTGCTGCTGTTGCTGCTGCTGATGGTGGTGATAGTTGTGGTGGTGATGATGCTGATGATGCTGATGATGATGATGTTGATGTTGCTGATGATGATGCTGCTGATGATGATGCTGATAATGATGTTGGTGGTGATGATGATGCTGATGCCGATGATGATTATGATGGAAATGCCCCGTTTGGAGGCAACCATTTCAATATCTTGAAGCGTGCCAAAACAGCATTCTCGGGACTCCAATGCCACGAATCAATCTGACTGTTGCGTCTTGGCGACCCTGAATCCTGCCAGAACGCCGTTCCTGGGACTTTAGCACCACGAGTCGAACTGACTGGTGCGCCCTGACAATCCCGAGCCGCTCCAAAACACCATTTCTGGCACGTTGGTCATGGGAATCCATGAAACTCTCGAAGTGCTTGACAACGAATGTGCGCGGCGCTGATGCAAGAGCCAGATGTTGAAAAGAAGCCGCGTTCAACCCGTGAAACTTTTCTGCACATTGTGGAGACGAATGTGCGCTGCGCTAAAGCGAGAGCCTCAGTTTGAAAACCGCCTGCCCTCAATCCGTGAAGCTCGTGCGAATGTTCAAGACGAGTGTGCCAGCGCTACGGCGATAGTCACATTTTGAACACCGCCCGCCTTCAATCCGTGAAACTCTTGAGATAATAAAACGAATGTGGGCGGCGCGTAGGCAGGACTGGAGTAGGAGGAGGAGGAGGAGGAGGAGGAGGAGGAGGAGGAGGAGGAGGAGGAGGAGGAGGAGGAGAGGAGGGAGGAGGAGGAGGAGGAGGAGACGGAGGGCAAGCAAGTTGTGCTCGCACCTTTCTGACATCCTACCTCTCGCACCCACCCCATTGCGCTGATTTCTTTCTAACCACCGACGGGTGTCAGAGCGGACGTGAAACCCTGGAAACTTTTCATCATGTTTTGCGCAATCAGACATGGGGAGCTATTCAGATTGGATGAGGAGGAGGAGGTGTCGGATGAGCAGCAGGATTAGAAGGAGGAAGAGGAGGAGGAGGAGCAGGAGGAGGAGGAGGAGGAGGAGAAGGAACAGTAGAAGCATAAACAGGAGCTTAAGGTTGCGGGGGGAAGCCGGAGGATCACGGGAAAGCGGAGGAGGCTGGGAAATGAGCGGAGTGACAGCGACGAGGAGGGACTCGGATCCAGAGGCCGCGCCGGAGCGATAGCGTCACTCAGAACGACGGAAGCAAAGCGCCGATCCCAAATTTCAAATGGGGCCCACGCTGCAGCGGAAACGCCATCTTGAAACATTGGGAGCGTTCCGCGGTGTGTAAACGAACGATACGTGGAGAGGGTGGGATATGTTCAGCACGTAGTCGGAGGAGAGAGGAGGGCATTATTCGTATTGAGTAATTTGCTGTGGAGGAGGAGAAGGAGGGGAGGAGATGAGCATGCGGGGGACGATGAAGAGGAACAGGGAAGATACGAGAGGAAAGGGAGGAGGGGGACAAGGCGGAGGAGGTAGTGGTGGTAATGATGGTGGTGTTCTGAAGAGGAGAACGATGAGGAGCATAGGGGAGGCGGCGAGAGAAGGAGGAGGAGGAGGAGGAGGAGGAGGAGGAGGAGGAGGGGGAGGAGGAAGATGTGAACGAAGGGATGCTCTCCCTTCTGTCCCCACTTACCCCTCCCCTCACCCAGGAGAAGGAGGATCATGAGGAGGATGAGGAGGAGAAGCGGCAAGAGGAGGACATGAGGAGGAAGGAGGTGGATCTGGGGGAGGAGAAAGGAGGTATCATGATCACGAGTGAGGGGCACAGGAAGCAGGGAGCGGGTCTTTAGCAGGGCCGCTGCAGAGAGCGCCCCTCCACCCCCCGAGAAGGTGGAGCAGGCGGGGTCTCTCGTCGTTGGCCAGGCGGTGGTAGGCCTCATGCCGAAGGACGCCGGCGACCGCGGCTGCCGCGGTCGCCTCGGCCGCCGCTCGGCTGCCGCAGCGGTGTGTCTGTCTGTCTGCCTGCCTGCGTGCCTGCCTGCCTGCCTGTCTGTCTGTCTGTCTGTCCGTCTGTCCGTCTGTCTGTCTGCCTGCCTCTCTGCCTCCGTCCGTCCGTCCATCTGTCTGTCTGCTTGCCTGCCGTCCTGCCCGTCTGCCCGTCTGCCTGTCTCTTTGTGTCTCTCTCTCTGTCTCTGTTTGTCTGCCCTGTTCTGGTCTCAACCTCTCCCTCTCTCTCCCTCCCTCTCTCTCTCTCTCTTTCTTTCTCTCTCTCTCTCAGTCTCTTCCGTTTTGTTTTTTCTGCTGTTTTTGTCTCGCGCTCCCCCTGGCTCCTCCGACCAGACCCCGCTGCGTGCTGCGCTTGCTTGGGGCACCTGCCACCCCGCAGCCTCCCGCCGTCTCTCGCGCCTCCCCCTGACGGCGGCGGGCGAGCACGGCCTCCCCCCCCGCGCCGCCACGGGCCACCGGGCACCCTGCCAGGCCCGCCCGCGGCGGAGCGCCGGGGCACGCCAGCGGCGCTGCTCGCACGATGCCAAGGGAAAAATCACGCACAACAAAAACACACACCACACAAAACACACACACACACACACGCACACACGCACACACGCACCCACACACATATACTCACACACACGCACACACGCACACACGCACCCACGCACACACGCAACCACGCACCCACGCTCCCACGCACCCACGCACCCACGCACTCACGCACCCACGCACCCACGCACCCACGCACCCACGCACGCACGCACGCACGCACGCACGCACGCACGCACGCACACACCCGCACGCCCACGCACACGCCCACGCGCTCGCGCGCACACGCACACACGCACACACGCACACACGCACACGCACACACGCACACACGCACACACGCACACACGCACACACGCACACACGCACACACGCACACACGCACACACGCACACACGCACACACGCACACACGCGCACCCACACACTCACACACACTCACACACACACTCACACACACTCACACACACTCACACTCACACACACTCACACACACTCACACACACACTCACACACACACGCACACGCACACACACACACACACACGCACACGCACACACACACACACACTCTCACACACACACACACACTGTGGGAAAAAAAACACAGTCTGTGGGAAAAAAGATATACAAAACACACGCACAGTGTGTGTGTGTGTTTTTGTGTGTGTGTGTGTGTGTTTTCCCACATTGTGTTTTTTTCCCACATTGTGTGTGTGTGTGTGTGTGTGTTTTTTAGCGCCCGGGCACGCCAGCGGCGCTGCTCGCACGATGCCAAGGGGGGCGGGGAGGGGTGGCGGCCCTGCTCGCTGCGCGGCGAGGCCCCTGGCACAGCCGCCCCACCCCCCCACCCTCAGCTCGCGGAGGGGACGATCCATGGAGAGGAAGCGTGCTGCCAAGTGATTTCCAGACGTCTAGAACATGTGTTAGACATGTTGTAGACATGTTCTAAACATGTTTAGAACATGTTTCCCACATTTTGAAACACATGTAAGCATTTGATGATAGGACTGTTAGGTTGTCCATTGTCGTGGCATCCACAACCCTAAGCCAGGACCCCGACTCCCGACCTGGTGATCGTGTATTTGCTGCAGAATGAGAATTACACATCGTTCATTCCTGATTATTCGAAGGGTCTTTGATTTTTTTGGGGCCCAGATCCTTTCCTTTCTAATTGTTCTATCCTGGGCCTCTTCCTGGCCACTAGGTGGACGTGGGCTGTGCTGTCCTCATGCGTGCCCTTCCCACCGCTGCCTCCGCCACCCTTGCCCCCTTGCCCAGGGGTGCCAGGAAGGCGCGGTGGGCCTCCGCGGGCGGTCGCCCGCGGCAGCCCTCCCCCGCCCCCCCTTCTCTGGCCCCCCCAAAAGTATGGGTGGGCCCCGCGGGCCTCACACCCCGCGGAGGGCGTTCTTGTTGAGGAGCACCGTGCAGAAGACCACGGACGACACGTCCGAGCCGCGACTTGAGTGTGTGGCCGCTGCTCGCCGCCCTCCTCGTCGTCCTGAGGGTTCTCCGCCTCCCGTTCCTCCTGGTCTTTGCTTGTCCTTCTCGTCCTTCCCCCTTCCCCTTCACCACCTCCCCCCGTCCCCCCACCTCTTCGTCCCTTCGTCCTCCTCCTCCTTCGTCCTCCTCGTCCTCCTCCTCCTCCTCCTCCTCTTCTCTTCCTTCCACCCCCACCTTCCCTTCTCCTTTCATCTGTCCCCTCCAGCTCCTCCTCATCCTCTGCGTCCGCCGCCTTTTCCTCATCGTCCTTGTCCCGTCTTCGCAACGGCCGATGTTCCTCTCTGCTTATTCGTTAAGGCCCTCTCTCCAGTGCCTGTCCTGTCCTATCCACAACGATTTTTTCTTTGATTCAACGCTGGTGCCAAGATCGCAGTGTGATGCTAGCAAGGCTCTTTGTGGGGCCTCTTGGGCAAATCGTTACGGAGGTGGGGAAGCGCTGCTGCAATCTCATTCATTCTGCCTCATGCTCCTCTTCCTTCTCCTCCTCCTCCTCGCTCCCCTCTCCATCCTCCTCCCCCCCATCGCCGCCCTCCTCGTCCTCCTCCCCCCTCCTCCGCCGCAGGAGCGGAGGCTGTTCGACTCCGTGGTGGACGACGGCTTCAGCCTCGCGCAGGCGGCACTCGTCGGTGGCAGTAAGAGAAGATCCTTCGGCCCCGGCTCCAGGCGAAGAGGAGGAAGCGGAGGAGGCAGGGGCGGGAGGAGGTGCAGGAGGGCGAAGACGGGCAGTTGGGGCAGTGATGATGATGCTGGTGCTGATGATGCTGATGATGCCGATGATGTTCGTGCTGCTGCTGCTGATGCTGGTGCTGATGATGCTGATGATGCTGATACTGATGTTGATGATGCCGGTGATGATGCAGATGATGCTGGTGGTGTTGATGATGTTGATGATGCGGATGCTGCTGTGGTTGATGAGGTTGCTGTCGTTGTTGTTATCGTCGCTGTTGTGATGGTGTCGTTGCTGTTGCTGTTGTTGGCGATAAGGATGATGACGAAATTGATGTTGATGATGCTGATGATGTTGTTGTCGTCGTCGTCGTCGTCGTCGTCGTCGTCGTGGTCGTCGTTGTTGTTGTTGTTGTTGTTGTTGTTGTTGTTGTTGTTGAACATTATTAATTCTAAAGAATAATTATTGTTGGGACCCCTGGTGCACGGCCCCCCTGCGCCGCCTAGGCCGCAGCTACATTTTCATCATTTTCGTGAGGAAGCCTCAGGTAATTCGATGTGATCAAGATCCGGTTGTTTTGTTCCCCCCCGCTTTCCCTTGCAAAAAACACTATAAAATGACATTTCTTGTTCTAATATAATCAAATTTCAAGAATCCCTTGCAAAAAATAAGGTAAAGTGGACATTCGCGCGCGCAAGACGAAATCCTTCCAAAACCTTAGTGTTCGCAACGATTTTAACATAAAAACATCAAAAAACCAATGGTTTTTCAACAAAAAAATGTCAAAATCTCATCCCGCGCGCTCTTGCG